TTAAAATTAGAGTCCTTGAAAAAAATTATTGATGTTTTTATAAAATGGAACATGAAACAAGGTAGATTTTCTTAAACTACGCTTTGGTCTTGTAAAACTAATCATTGATAGTAGTTTATAGGAATCGATGAAACTTTTTTATTAAACAAATAAAAACATAATCTCTGCAAAATTCCTCCTTAATTCAGAAGAAGTGAATCTCAATCGGAATAATTGTAAGTTATTAGGTATATCTAACTTAATAGCTTACAGAATTTGATTTGAACATACTCAATTAATTGTCTATATGAAAAATAACTCGGTGATGATACAACTGAACCAAATTCAGAATTAGATCTAACTAATGAAAAAAATTAATTTTTAAATACATTGATATTTTTAAAATCTTCTGTGTTCTTATTAATAAAACCTAACATCTAAAAAGTTTTTTTATCATATTATCTATGTATAATGAAAAAGGCATTTTGGAAACAATAGTAATCCCTAGATATCTGACAGAGTAACTATTTTTATGATACAATCGATAATTTTATAATTAATGGGTAATTGCATTATTTGAACAAGTAAAAGTTATAACACCACATTTATTTATATTAAGAGATAAACAATTAAGAAAACTCCAAGTAATAAATCTATCTAAATTTAACTGTAACTTTAAGGTATCAGCTGGATATTTAATCCTAGAAAATAGTTAAGCAAAAGAATGTCCACCGAACTATCAAAAAAAAAAAAAGATAGATCATTAATATAAATAAAAGAAGGCCAAGGGGCAAACCTTGGGATTCATAAAGTTACTAAAAACTCATTTGATACAAATGATGATAACTTCAAAGCTTGAGTACGAAAACTAATATAGGATTTAATTCATTTCATATATTTACCATATTTGTCAAATAAAAATGATTTATTTTAAAGAAGGTTATGATTTATTTTATCAAAAGCCTTTTGATAATCGGTATAAATTAAATCCATTTGAACATGATCATTAAGGGCAACAAGTGTTTTAGACTGATAGAGTAATAAATAAGTAGAAACGGACACCTTTGGTCTAAATCTATGCTTGTTTTTTACTTATATAAATAAATTAAAAGTTAAATAAATTTAACTCAAAAAGTTACAAAAAATTACCAAAAATCATGGACAAGTATTTCGGGAAAAATGTTAACATTATTAACGCTTAACACACACTGACACACCGATCAAAAAAAACTCCTTATGTACACCTAGATATGTTATGAATAAGTATTATTATCATATTTTGCCAGCTTACACAAGTTTAATAATGAATATTTTGGTGAAATTACTGAATTATTTCCTTAACTAATATATTAATTATTAATATACGTTGAAAATTAAAATTTTTGATTTAAATACTCTCAATTCTACTTTACTTTTCCGCATTTTCTTTTACGACATATAAAATAAATTACTAATGTATTATTTTTTCTCGACAATTTTCTTAATAATATTATAAAACTTTTGATATAAATTGTAGAGATGATCGAATTAAACTGTTAACTGACATTTTTTAGTAAATTGTTAGTAGTGTCATATCTAAGTTGTAGTATATTTTAGAGTACCTCTAATTTGATATTTAATCTTATAACTTATTTGATATAAAGAAAATTCCATATATTTTTATTATTTTGTTAAAAAGTAGCAATCCTGAACAATTCCAAAATTTCATTTAACATTTTTATCCATTGACTTTTAATTATGGTAAGTATAGTTATAGTTCATTACTTATAATAAAAACCAAGTAAAATTAATTAATTGTGGTGCACGGAAATTTTACCATTTTAAATAATGTTCTTTTATCCGTCAATTTATGAACATTTTTTATTACTAGTAGATTCTCAATGTCTTTGTGTTATACTATTTGTAAAATAAATGAAATATACAAAAAGGTCATATGGCTGTAATCGAAATTTAAAATCAGAAGTAAAAATAACTTGTAATCATTAACTAATTTTAACGCATATTAACCTTGGGCATTTCCCAGGGAAAAATCAAGGCAAAAAATTTTTCATTTTTTATCAAAATTATTACTTTGTAATTAGTAATTACATGATAGGTAATTTAAAGTATTTAATAAAAATCCTTCTTAAATACAATTAAAAATCACTGTTAATTCTTGTTTTTTTTTTATCGTCATTAATTATAATTTCTTGATATGCTTATTGCAATAACATTTACAAAACATTTATCCTTGGAAAATACTGCAAAGGATCCTTAAAGATCACGGAAATGAGCTGTATGAAGACTTGTGAACCCAAGTCATTCAGTAAGAGTGGAAACACGTGAAATCAGTCATTTATAATTTTTAGGACTAATATGCATGGTCATATATGTTCTTAAACACCAAATAGGTTCCACAACCTTCCATACCAAGTGAGAGAGACTTTTCAACAGAGTTGTATACCGAAAGGTGAATTTGTGAACCTCTGTAGCATCTAGGCATCATAGATTATAAATCCTTATTACAGAACCGAGTACTGCAGTCTTGGACTTATCTCGTATTTTTTTAATAACAATAGGATGGGTATATTAAAAGAAGGGTACCTTATAAAACAGTACGTATCTAGTTAAAAAAATTCTATAAATACAAGTGTATGAAAATAATGAAATTCCATAGAAGATCGTTAGATAATTCAAAACATTAATAATAAGAATTAGGCGTCTAATAATTAACCATAGTAGTGGGGGGGGGGGCACTAATGATGAACCACATCAACTGTAAAACACTTAATAAATCATCTATTCCTCAAGTTAGATGCATCTTTCTGCAATTTTCTATAGGTGTTAAATGTTCAACTGGAATTCCTTGTTAACTAAACACATTACATTTCGATGAAAACCCTATTTTTATCAAAAATTTGTTGTATGATGCGTATAATAGACTATAAGAACTGAGTGTAATGTCTACAACCACCTTTTAATTAACGAAAACGATTTACTCCTAAGAAACAATCAGCTTGTAATAATATTTTTATTGATAGCACATTTACTTATAACTATTTCAATTTGTGCTAACAAATAATCTGATCGTATGGATTAATGAGAATTAGAACAAAAATGCGTAAATAACATATATTTAAATAATTAACAAATAATTAGTTAAATTTAAACTTTGAAATTTTATTTCATGATTTTTCCAAATTAAGTAATTTTAAGGATTGAGTTAGCAGGAATTTTAAATAAACAAATAACTTTTATTGTGAATTAGTGTAGAAAATATTTATTTTTGATAGTAAAATTGTTAAGAAAGTTAAAATAATATATCGTGTTTTAGCAAATAACAAATCGCCTATTATTTGTACAATATTTTATAGTAAAATTTCTATTTCTGTCTCTTAGAACTTGAATAATAAGAAAAAAAATACCTAAATAGAGTAAGAAGCTTTAACGCTTTTGAACATAGTCTAGATACATCCACTTCGCATGTATGTAGTGGTTTGATTCTTAAATATTTCACAATTCAAAAGAGCTTCCGGATATCCGATCACTGTCTATTCCTATTAATTATTTTACATGTGCTTAAAGTATATTCAAAGAGTCTGTAGCCTAAGATCCATTTATTATTATTATGATTTTCGTCATAACCATTAAAATAGAAGCATAAATCAAGTAATAACGAAGTCTGGTAACTATCTATAAGGAGTCTAAGGGGAAGTACAGTAAGTTTGATGCAGACATGATAAATTTTCTTTTTTCACTCTAAAGGAGATTACACTCGTGCAGAAACTACCAGGTCTATTACAGTTTTTCACGGTTCGTGAATATATCGTTAGAATATTATAATGTACTTTATTAACATTTAGTGTATCATTCCAGATGTTCAGAACATTTTTATTTTTTATAAACAAAACTTTATTTTATATGAATATTAACAATCTATTATTCACATTATTTAGAACATAAAGAGATGACATTGTGCACAAGAAATATCTAACCAAGTTACTGAATTCCAATAAAATGCGTACATAATACTTAAATTTATGTGTAGTACACTAAAAACCATTAATGAAAAGTTAATTTTTTATTACGTTTGTACATCAATTCTAGGTAAGCTAGTAGTTATCTTTTGATTTGGCTTAGTTTTTGAACAGCCAAAGGATACTTTCTGTGTCGTAACAGGGCTCTGGGCATGGACGTATATAACATTATATGTGTGGGTCGTAGAGAAAAACTGAAAGACGTCAATACGGGTCGTATAAATATAGAGGTGGAGAACAGCGATGCCCCCTCTCGGGGGGAACTGTAAAAATGGTGGCGGCGGCGGCGTTCGATCGATAACGGGCGTACCGCAATTTTCCAAAGGGCCAAGCGGTAGCGGATAAACCGTGGGACGCGTTCAATTTTTGTAATCAAATGTCATATAAATATAAAAGGTCAATGGATGAAAAGTATGTAGCGCCGTAAGAAAACTAAAACAAATCTTATCGTCAAAAAAAAAAAAAAACATGACCATAAAAAGGTTGTGCGCTATCAATTAAATATCATTGGACATATTGGTTTTCTGAGTTTTTTTGTTCAGACAGCGACGCACAGATGCATGGACTATGGCCCACAGCAAATTTCCGGCGAAAATAAATTTTTTCACAAAGCGCGCCTGTTTAATTGGACTTGGTCGTGTAAATTATTTCTCGACTAATGCATAATACATGAAACGAATAACATGAACAATAATAAAGCGCTAATAACAGTAATAACGATCGATGGTGTTCATTTAATTAGCCGTACTTGCTTCTCACATGGCTTATCCGCCGTCCACTTGGCTGCATTTGTGGTAATAATAAGTTAATAACAACTATAATAATAGCATTTTATGAGTATAATGTGCTCAGACTTTCTATATGGACACCGTGATACGGCGACGACGCGAAAAGGAATTAACGCGTTTATTCGTTATAAGTACTTCGAGAAAAATAAAACAAAGCAAAAAAATCGATTCGGTCGAATGAATTATTGTTAAACACTAGCGCGGCGCTAGCCCAACTCTCATACGCAAACCTCTTTTGGTAAAATAACAAAAGAAAAATATGAGTTACAGCGTTTTCGGTATTATTATTTTTCTCCTAAAACTCGTTTTCCTCTATAAACAATATGTCTACCACTTTATTTTATTTTTAGCGATGGTGGAGCGTGACAATTTTCTTGAAAATCCAAAGTTTTGAACAATTTTTATGCATACACATGTTTTTTCTTATGCGGATAATATAATAGAGAGTTTTTTTTATCCGTGTAAACGCTTTATTTCATTTGCCTTTTGTGAGCAAGATGTGATTTTGTTATTTTTTTTTGAAAATAAAAATGCTATTTTTTCGTTTAATGTTTTGTAATTGAAAAATCGTTTGCCAACGCTAAAATTCCAAAAGTTTACATAACTGCACAGAACGAAAATTCGTCCAGATCGACACAGAAAGCGGAAGCGGCGCCTTGTTGTTGTTTCACAATAAATCACTAGAATATTAACGATTCAAAGCAAAACTCCATTTATATCAAGAGCTGTGTATAAAACATTGGTGGCCGTCGAGAATATTTCAGCAAACACACTGCTAACTTTAACGCAATTGAGCAAGGGTAAGTAAAAAGTTAACTTGAAAAAATTATCTCGATAATTTAATTACTATACAGAAACAATTATTTTACAAGTTTACTTTTTACAATTTATTATGATCTACATGTATATTATCGTGGCTTTTTTGACAGTAACGAGCAAATAACGCTTTGTTAAATTAAATTTAAAGTTAAAAAAAAGTCCACCTAAAAGTAGTTAAATTATTTCTAGGTAGAGTCAATAATTTCGTTGTGCTTGTATAATAAAATACGTTTTAATTAAGGAAATTATTTACTATGTACACTTTTTTGTTGTTTCTATACGAATTACTGAACACTATTACTCATATGAAATATAAAATCGTCATAATATTACATGAATAGACTTCCTAAGACTACAACTTCATGTAAATTAAGAATTTATAATTAATTACAAAATGCACGTGAAATTTAATAATTAACGCACATAGGTTTTATGAAAAACATTTTATATAATTTTAAACTTTTTAATAATATAGAGGTGCCTTTATTTATTATATAAAAATATGACTGTTTTAACGGTTTACGTCATATTTATTAAAGACTTTTGTAGGCAAGAAGTAAATTTGAGTTATTTCGTTTATACAAATAATTACAAAAATGTCTTTAGCAAAATGAATGAATTTTCCTTCTATTTTACTTGAATTATTATGATATAATTAAGAAACTTCAAGTATAAAAATGACATTGTTATACAATTAAAAGTTGAATAAAAAACTTTGACGACAGTCGTACAAATAAGTATAGATTACAACGATAATTTTCGCAATCACATTAATCACCACGAGGTGATTAATGTGATTGTTGTTGTTTTTCAACTACTCGTTACTCTGCCTTATCTTTGAGCTAAATCGTTGTCTATTGAACTATTGTTATAGCTGATTTCATAATTTTAAAATTCATATTAACAAACTACAACCGAATCGAGTTACTGAGATGTCTAGTAAATTTCGCCTAATTAATGACAAATTATACATATATTTACGTTATTAGAGATTCAATGAATAGTACATTAAACTATATTGAATAGTAATAAACTTTACTGCTAATTGTTTTTTCAATTAATCATTTATAGAAATCAAATAAGTAAATAATGTGAGAAATAATTGCTAGTGAAGTATTAATTTGATCTAGAAATGTTTTATCGTACATAACGAAGTTTTCTCATGTTAATTAAAAATTCCACGTTAATCATATTTTAAACAGAACAGTAAAAGCCATGAGTAATTAGGTGTTAAGCGAGTTATTTGTTAAATCTCTCTAAAAAAAAAAAAAAATTCATTTTAAAATCCTATCGAATGTATTCGGACCACGTGAAGCGTTAGCAAGTCCACGTGGGAGCGTATGTATTGGAAAATCGTCGATACGAATTTATTTGCCCACCCCTCCATCCTTTTTCCCAAGCAATACACGAAAATACCATACAAAGCGGAGTCGGCGCATCAAAGAGAAAAGGTTGGGTCGCCGTACATTTACCGATCGAACGGTTATCGGCGGCGGCAGCGGACGGGCGGCCACTACTGCCCCCCCTCGATACATACTAAGCACACTGCTGCCGTTCAGTGTGAGTGCGACGGCGACGGGCCAATTCCGATCAATCGGTCCCGGCTAAAAGAACGGCGCGCATGACGGTGCTTTTTTCCCCTACTGCTAGCCGCCTACGGTCAGGTATATATACTTACCGTGCACATCTCTTTGACCCTCTCACTCTCTCTCTCTCTCTCTCTCACTCTATCTGCGTATATATATATATATATTTATGTAGACGTCTATACATAATGCACACGGTGTAGCCACTGCGTGCGATGTGCTCATCGATACCCAACGGGTTTCCGATCGCTCCACCCACGTACCGATTTTCCCCGGATATACCACACCCCGTTTTATCGGCACTCGCATAAAACTCCTCCTCTATAAACACTCACAATACGCAATCCGATCGGTTCCCTTCCCCTACCCACCCCTATCAATATATGTATGCACGTACGTACGGTTTTTATCCCTTTTTCCGGTATTCCAATCGCGAGCCTCAAACATTTGGAGTGCAAATGTATATTGTGTATGCAAACAGTAAAACAATCGAAAATATATCCAAAGAGAAGTTTAATTAAAAAGTCGCGTTTTCCCTGCGCCCAGCGTAATAATATCGTTATAGTGATGATTATTGTTACTGTAAATTTTAATCAAATAATCAGCGTACACGCGACAATTATTGACGGCGAGAGGGTTTTAGTTATTTTTTTCGACAAATAGAAGCCCGTGTTGTTGTAACGGTACACACACTCCACGAGGTTTATACATAATTGATTAGTCAACATACACGAGCGAGCGTTGATTTGATCGGCAAGCCCCAAAAACTTTTCATTTGCATGCCGTCGCCGGTGTGAACGGATTTCATCAAGTTTCCAACGAGCCGAGCGTCATATTTTATACATGACAAATGTTATAATAACAACGCGGCGCTTTTATGTGTACCTCCTTTAGCGGGTTCGCCTTTCTTTAGATAAGATTTGAGGTTAAGTAATTATTATCGTGACACGTGGCCTTTTAAACTTTACACCGATCACAATGCACTATCGTGTAACATATTTATCGAGCGACTTGTAAATATTTTACCACTGCTCCGGGTTGCCCTTTACGCTACAAACAATTTCGGCAGTCAAACTCCGTCGTCTCGTTCGACTTCAAACTGTCAACCGGTAGTATTGTGTCGTTGGTTTTATTTTTTTCACCGGCACATTCAAAAGAAACCAACTCGTCAAATGACACCGTCAACTTCGAATGAAACGCGTAGGCGTTGGACAGTAAAAGATAATAATGTGAGTAGAGTTTCTCAACGTTAAATAGGTGTTAGTGTGTGTGTGCCCGCGCCAGCCAGAGGTGTTTGCCTCGAATGTGTTTACTTATGTATAATTATAGTACATTTCCGATAGATCACGTTTTTGGCCCGAGCGCTAGTAAATTCCATTTTTAAATATTAGCTCCGCTGCCGCCACCTCCAACGACGACTAACCCGAGGGTTAGACCAAAAAATAAATGATACATCGTCGTGTCTATGGCCAATAGTGAATAGTTTTTTTTTTTTTCACGTTCACAAGACGTTCGGCTCCCTAATGACCTAGCGCGTCGTCATTTGTATATTATATATTGTACGTGCGAGCGATATACACTTTGATTCTAAAAAAAGAGAACATTCCAACATAAACGAGTTGTGGCGATGGCAGCATTTAGAGTTTTACACATACTTTATGTTACACAACAGTGTTATAAGCTGTTTTGAATTTCATACTTAACATTAGATTTATTATAGGTATATAATGTCATATCTATGCTGCATAACTGTATATGGCCATAAAAAAATATTAATAGAAAAATAAACATGTGTCGAGATACTTAAAATTAGTAAGAACAATATAATATAATGAATGGTTCCAAGTTATCTACATGGCTAGATCTCGAGATTTATCGTAGCCAATTGATTATGCAATTGTTTTCACAAACTTTTTAGGAATTTTATAATGTAAATTATAAATTAAGTACTTTAGAGCTAATTAATATACTCGAAGCTGAGTGAAAATTAGTTATTTTGATCGACTGAAATTTAATTTTCAAACAAATTCTTTAATATAATTCTATAAACAATTAAAATAGAGTACACTTTCGTACATTTAATATGTGAATAGTAAAACTTAAAAGCAGTTTTACAGTAACACATAGCTGTGATAGCTTTTATAGAACGATTGTTACATGAAACATAATTATAATAAATAACTGCAGAATTGTAAAGTAATTTATTACATTATTATTATATCGTCAAGCTGTAAAACTCAACTTGATCTATTCACAAAATATTCTTAACACTAGCATAAAAAAATAAGTATTAATTTATTTTATAATGGGTTATTTTACAATATTTTTTTTATATTCCCTTTGTCGCAGACGGAATTTTCTTTAAATGTTTCACATAGTTTGTGTTTTATAAAAAACTTTTTTGATTTGATATACTTATTAAATTTATCTTATAGTTATTAAATATTGTAAAGAAATATGGGAGATGTAGAATGAGCAAAAAAAATTAAATTATTATGTGCCAATTATTTTAACGAACAAAAGCTTGTCATTTGCATAAGAAAAAAAATTATGTAAATATGAAAAATTAGATTGTCAAATTGAAGATAGACACAAAACAAAAATTGAACATTGATTGACTTCAATAATAAAATAAATGTGTAATAATTAAAACTCATAAATGACTTCTCTGGAAAAATGTTATTTCAATAATACAAGTTATTATATTAAATTAAAGAAAATAAAAATGTATCGTCAAAAGTCCTTCCCATCTTCAGTGATTTTCCTATTGAGTAACTTAGATAACATGTTACACAAAGACTAAAAAAATATTGCAATTTTAAAGTTGTTTCTGTGCCTTGGCCGTTGTCATCGTCGGCTTGATTGCTGCGCATTTTTCTCGGTTTAGAGATGAAATATATTCTTCTGCGTGTGCCCCGGCGGACTAAGCTTGCCGGTAGAGTGACAACAGGGGAGTTGTATGGCATCAGGGGGGGAGCGAAAAAGGGTAGGCAGGATGTATTGGGAGGTGGGAAAAAGAGAAAAACCCGGGCCATCCTATTATCGGCATTTCGCCGTTTACGTTTCGTCCCGCGCCCTCCCGTTCTAACCTTCCTCACATACAGCAAAACACTCACTATATACCCCCCCTTTAGTTAAAAGAAGGGCAGCCGTATGTATACGTATGCCGCATTAAACCCAACACCCTGAGTTCCAAGTGGAGAACGGGCGTATATCGAATCGAAGCTTTGCGGGGAGTGTATAAAAGGAGAAGGCTAGCGACGGTAGGAAGAATAGAAGAGGAGAATTTTTTCACCCTTCCTATTTATTCTTGCCACCACAAAAACGGGATGACCCAATAACGGCATTGGTAGCAGCGTCATCGTCGTAGTCGTTCGATTTTCAACGCACACTGT